GACTGCAGGCTAGTAAAGTCTTTAAGGAGGCCTCTTACCTGTTTCTGCTCTAGAGGAGAGGTGCTTGGTTGCAGGCAGGCACACATTTTGAGGAGGTCTCTTACCTGTTTCTTCTCTATAGGCGAGGTGCTCAACTGCAGGCAGGCATACACTTTAAGGAGACTTCTTCCCTGTCTCTACTCTAGAGGAGAGGCACTCAGCTGCAGGCAAATTCACACGCTTTAAGGAGGCCTCTTGTTCTTAAAACTGTCTACTCTAGAGGAGAGGTGTTGCAGGCTGGCATGCACACTTGCTTTCTCTCCCAGGCTGCACCACACCAGTAGCCACACACTCTTTGCAAAGCATTTTAAGAAGGTTTCCCACTTCCAGGTAAGGAAGAGTGATTCCTCCTGGAAGAGGAGAGGTAACTGGTTGGAGTTTTCAGCGAATTAGTGTTGTCTTATTGTTTGCTAGGGAGCCTTCTTGGTGGTGGCCCCTCGGCTATGGAATGCCCTCCCTATAGATATTAGTTCAACCACCTCCCTTTTAACGTTCCGGGAAAAAAGTCTTGACGTGGCTTTTTGAACAGGAGCTTGCAAATGCAGAGTAACAGACGTAGGAAAATGGAATGACAACGAGACCGGACAACGTTTTTAACAAGGAGACACTATGCATTTATATTTTATTGATTTGTTTAGTTTTTATTATATGTTTTTTAATTGTCAGCATTGAATTTTACCGTTAACCACCTTGAGTCGCCTACAGGCTGAGAAAGGTGGGATACGAATACAACAGATAAATAAATAAACAAACAAAGATTAAATTGTGATGCCGAAAAGCAGAAGACGAGCAGAGATCAGCTCCCACTTGCTTTTGTGTCGGGCGGGTTTTCGTACCAGGAGGGCCCTTACCATTATGGGCTCCCGAAGTACCGAAGGAAACGTAGGAAACGAATTCCGCGCACAAGTCTAACTCACAGTCTATTCAGGAGGAAAAAAATAACCTGCGTGTTAAGAGCAATACAGCATGTGATGGCATTGTGCGGGGAGAGGCTGTGTCCCAGTCCGGCCCTTACCACTTGACCGTCAACATACGAAAGATGGTTTGCGGTATCTCCATCGTTTTTCTGAAGACAGGAATGCTCCTACTAATTCTCTGTCTGCTGTGCAAAGAGGCGTTCCAATCAGCCAACCTGTTTTTCTCTAAAGCACCGAACCCAGTAATGGATGGTGAGGAGCCCCCAGAGTGTGCCTGGAAGACCAAAGCATGTGATTCCAGTAACCTTGAGCCGCGCGCTCGTCGGTTTGGAGGATTTGTCAGCGTAGGAAGGGATGCGGGCTTGGTATTTGCTCAGTTTCCGTCGTGGAGGACTTCTTTGTGTAAATGGTAATGAGACCGTTAGGTCTGTGTTCACCTGAAGTGCAGCTCTGTGAATCGCAGGCAATTAAACACCTCCAGGATGAAAGGGAAAGGGCAAGGAAGGTTAAGTGAGGAATAATCGGATGCACAGGTGGCGAGAGCCTTTGAGGGGACAGGAAGCCAGCGTGGAGATAGGCAAGGGCTGGCGGCGGCGGTGGTGGCGTTGTCAAGGGCCGCCCCGTGTGGCAGATTCATCCTCCACCCTTCAAGGGAAGAACTTCTTTTGGAATTGTAGTTTGCACTCTGGAAATGACCAGTTGGGGTGAAGTCTTCATTTCTTGCCATTGATATTGTCATGGTTGTTCTTCTTTGTGGTCTCTGTAAATTGCACCAACAAGTAGTTCAGCACCTGCGCAGAGCACATTCGGAAGCTCCTAGACCTAGATACTTTGGACATCTGTTCTGGTTGGCTTAGCATTGTCTTATTATCTTTCCCTCCTTGATGACACTGTTTGCACTTGTATCATCAGTATCTCACTTTTAGGGAACTCCCATCCCTCATTAACTCCCTTCTCTTTCAGTATTCTGGCGGTCCACTTCCGAGCACAATTCAAAGTGCTGATCGTGGCCTATAAAGCCCTATATGGTTCCAGCCCAACGTCCAAATGTCTCTCCCGGTATTTCTGGCCTCGAAATTTAAGATCGTCCGGGGAGGCCCTGCTCTCGGTCCCGCCGCCATCGCAAGTACGTTTGGCGGGGACGAGAGACAGGGCCTTCTCGGTGGTGGCCCCCCACCTTTGGAATGCTCTCTCTAGCAAAATTAGGTCGGTTTCATCCCTCCTCTCTTTTAGAAAAAGCTCAAAACATGGTTTTGGGACCAAGCATTTGGACAGTAGGTTTGGCAGTATTCTCAGTGTTTGAACTCTGACAAGGACAGGCTTTGGAGTGAGTTGTTTTAATGTATTTTAAGCTAATGTTTTATCTCTTGCACTAGCCGTCCCCTGCCACGCGTTGCTGTGGGCCACTCTGGTGGTCATGGGGGTTCTGTGTGGGAGGTTTGGCCCAATTCTATTGTTGGTGGGGTTCAGAATGCTCTGTGATTGTAGGTGAACTACAAATCCCAGCAACTACAACTCCCAAATGCCAAGATTCTATTTTCCCCAAACTCCACCAGTGTTCACATTTGGGCATATTGAGTTTTCATGTAGAGTTTGGCTCAGATCCATCCTTGAGTCCACAGTGATCTCTGGATATAGGTGAACTACAACTCCCAAACCCAAGGTCAGTGCCCCCCAAACCCTTCCAGTATTTTCTGTTGGTCATGGGAGTTCTGTGTGCCAAGTTTGGTTCAATTCCATCGTTGGTGGGGTTCAGAATGCTCTTTGATTGTAGGTGAACTATAAATCCCAGCAACTACAACTCCCAAATGACAAAATCAAATAATTTTGAGTGAAGGACATACATTGGGCTGTTAGATGTCTTGTGTCCAAATTTGGTGTCAATTCGTCCAGTGGTTTTTGAGTTCTGTTAATCCCACAAACGAACGTTACATTTTTTACTTGTATAGATCGTGTTGTTGTATGTTGTTGGCATTGAATTGCTGCCGTTGTAAGCCGCCCTGAGTCCCCCTTTGGGGGTCGAGAAGGACGGGGTAGAAATGTTGGAAATAATATTCTTATCCATGGAATCACACTCATTATTTCCCCAAATTTCCTGAAATCAGCTCTCTTAAGAGTCTAGAATGTGTTGCCTGACTCGGCTTGATTTCCCCTTTCGTCTGTACGACAAACTCCAGGAGAACCTGGTCACTCCCACCTAAAGATCCCACTGTTTATTAAATTAGGACTTAATTGTTCCACTCCATTGTCCCGGTGGGGTTGGGTAGAATCAGATCCAGAATGACCAATCCCCTTGTCGCCTCTTCCACCTTCTGGTATTTGTCTTCTTGGCAGGGCTTATTGTCCAACAAGTATCAGAGTAGTTGAAATCTCCCATTCCTACTCTTTCTTTTCTATCTGCATCTCCTCAAGGAAGGCTTCATCTAGATCGGTGTTTCTCAACCTGGGGGTCGGGACCCCTGTGGGGGTCATGAGGGGGTGTCAGAGGGGTCAACAAAGACCATCAGAAAACATAGTATTTTCTGTTGGTCGTGGGTGTTCTGTATGGGAAGTTTGGCCCAATTCTATCGTTGGTGGGGTTCAGAATGTTATTTCATTGTAGGTGAACTATAAATCCCAGCAACTACAACTCCCAAATGTTAAGGTCTATTTTTATCAAACTCCTCCAGTGCTCACATTTCGGCATATTGAGTATTCGTGCCAAGTTTGGTCCAGATCCGTCATTGTTTGAGTCCACAGTGCTCTCTGGATGTAGGTGAACTACAACTCCAAAAATTCAAGGTCAATGTCCACCAGATCCTCCCAGTATTCACTCTTGGTCAAGGGAGTTCTGTGTGCCAAGTTTGGTTCTATTTCATCATTGGTGGTGTTCAGAATGCTCTTTAATTGTAGGTGAACTATAAATCCCAGCAACTACAACTCCCAAATGTTAAGGTCTATTTTTATCAAACTCCTCCAGTGCTCACATTTCGGCATATTGAGTATTCGTGCCAAGTTTGGTCCAGATCCGTCATTGTTTGAGTCCACAGTGCTCTCTGGATGTAGGTGAACTACAACTCCAAAAATTCAAGGTCAATGTCCACCAGATCCTCCCAGTATTCACTCTTGGTCAAGGGAGTTCTGTGAGCCAAGTTTGGTTCTATTTCATCATTGGTGGTGTTCAGAATGCTCTTTGATTGTAGGTGAACTATAAATCCCAGCAACTACAACTCCCAAAAGTCAAGGTCTATTTTTCTCAAACTCCTCCAGTGCTCACATTTTGGCATATTGAGTATTTGTGCCAAGTTTGGTCCAGATCCGTCATTGTTTGAGTCCACAGTGCTCTCTGAATGTAGGTGAACTACAACTCCAAAAATTCAAGGTCAATGTCCACCAGATCCTCCCAGTATTTTCTCTTAGTCAAGGGAGTTCTGTGTGCCAAGTTTGGTTCAATTTCACCATTGGTGGTATTCAGAATGTTCATTGATTGTAGTGTGAACTATAAATCCCAGCAACTACAGCTCCCAAATGACAAAATCAATCCCCCAACCCCACCAGTTTTCAAATTTGGGCATATTGGGTATTTGAAAATACACCCTGCATATCAGATATTTACATTACGATTCATAACAGTAGCAAAATTATAGTTACGAAGTAGCCATGAAAATAATGTGATGGTTGAGGGTCACCACAACGTGAGGACCTCTACTAAGGGGTCGCGGCATTAGAAAGGTTGAGAACCACTGCTCTAGGTCTTCGGTCTGGCTTGTAGACATCCACAACGACATCTTTTTCCGTTCTTCCCTCCCTTAATTCTTACCCAGATGCTCTCAACTTGGTTGCTGAGATTGAGGTCCTCATCTTCCAGTGTGAATCCATAACGTTTCTTCAGGATTCAGAGCCAAGCTAAATGATCATAATGATGATGTCCATATTCCCCCGTTCTCGAGATGATCCTTTCCTTAAACCAGCATGTGTTGCCTTCTGATGACTTCCTATTCCTTGGGATTGTCTTTTGTATCTCCTTGAAGAACAACTCGTCTTGTTCTGCTTGTGTGTTTCCAGGTGTCTGCACTGAAGAGCAGGTTGAAGAAGGTCTCCATGACCACAGGAGACGGCGTGGCCAGAGCGTTCCTGAAGGCCCAGGCGGCTTTCTTTGGGAGCTACAGAAGTGCATTGAAGATTGAGCCCGTAAGTAGCCTCTCCTGTTTGAGATCCTGCTCTGTTTCGTTCATTGTAATGCTTGTGTTCAGTCATTTGGTGTCGCTGTGGCGAAGTACCAGTATGTCCTTAAAGGTTTACGTGTACTTTCTAGAAAACAAACTCAGCCAAGAGTACAAAGTCCAACAAATTCCTCACTTGCCTTGAGGTCGGAGTTGGCTTGACGCGCCTTCCTCTTGGCACGTTTCTCTCTTTCACCCTCCATTCGTGCCTCTTCAAATTCTGCAGCACTGCTGGTCACAGCTGACCTCCAGCTGGAGCGCTCAAGGGCCAGGGCTTCCCAGTTCTCAGTGTCTATGCCAGAGTTTTTAAGGTTGGCTTTGAGCCCATCTTTCAATCTCTTTTCCTGCCCACCAACATTTCATTTTCTGTTCTTGAGTTCAGAGTAGAGCAACTGCTTTGGGAGACGGTGGTCGGGCATCTGGACAACATGGCCGGTCCAGCAGAGTTGATGGCTCAGGACCATTGCTGGTGGTCTTTCCTTCTTCCACACTGAGATTTCCCCACCTGTCTTCCCAAGAGATTTGCAGGATTTTCCGGAGGCAGCGCTGATGGAATCTTTCCAGGAGTTGCATGTGACGTCTGTAGACAGTCCACGCCTCGCAGGCATATAACAGGGTTGGGAGGACAATCCAGGTATACCTTGATCTGTTTTGTATCCTGGCTTTAGGTGGGGGTCCCAATCTGTTTTTGGGAGCCTCCTGAAATTGGGAAGTCAGATATCTGTTTTCGCTCTGGGGTGCCAAAAGATCTGCTTTCTATCAGTTCATTATAGTGGGAAGGTTTCCCAGACTCCCCTTTCCATCATTTTAGGCATTTAAGCTGTTCGTACTCTAGAGGAGAGGCACTCAGCTTCATGCAAGTTCTCACTGTAAGGAGACCTCTTACCTGTTTCTACTCTAGAGGAGAGGCACTCGGCTGCAAGCTGGCACTCACTGTAAGGAGACCTCTTACCTGTTTCTACTCTAGAGGAGAGGCACTCAGCTGCATGCAGGCACGTACTTTCTCTCCCGGGCCTGCAAGCCACACATACACTCTCTTTCCAAGGCATTTAAAGGAGGCAAGTTCTAAAAGCTGTTTCTTACTCTAGAGGAGAGGCACTCAGGTGCAGGCAGGCACAGGCGCTTTCGCTCACACCACATGCACTCTTCCCAAGGTATTTAAAGGAGGCTTCCCATCCAGGTAAGGAAGAGCAATGTCTTACTGGAAGAGAGGTAGCTGGTTGTCGTTTCCAGGGAATGATTATTTTCTTTTTGTTTGCCGGGGCATTAATAACAAAGATTAAACTCTGATGCTGAAAAGCAGAGGAGGAGCTGAGATCAACTCCCGCTTGCTTTCGTGTTTTTGTTCCCGAAAGGGTCCTTACCGTTATAGGCTCTCAAAGTACCAAAGGTACCTGAAACAACAGAGGAAACGGAAGCAACGAATTCCGCGCACAGGTCTACTACCTAACACAAGAGCACATAGAGAAAGACAGGAAGAATCCCGTAAGAACACATAAAAATTGTCAACATCGCCTCCCAGGATGGGAAGTGCAAGCATCTCCAGGCTCAAGCCAAGGCCCACGTGGAATTCCTGCAAGATAAACAAGGCTACGTGGATTTCCCCGAAGGCCTGTCACCCAAAAGTGTACTTCAGGGGACGCAGCGAGACTTCTGGCCCACCTGTGATTCTCCATGGGCGCAAACCAAATGTATTTATGCATCTGGAAAACGAAATGGCGGAAGGCGTTCGTCTGACTCCTCCGGGGAGAATCTGTTGCTCTCCCCGCATCTCTCTTAATTGCTGGAATTATTCGAGGTTGGATCGGCAGGATGTTTGGGGTTTATTTTCCTCCTGCGCACAATGGGGTGGCTGTACCTGTGACACATGGGCCAGTGTGGGGGTGTTTCTCTCCATCTCGTGAAAGCCTCAGGTGTGAGCGAGCGCAGTGCCGCCCAAGTCCCAGCGGTCGCTTTAATTCCCAGCCATGCAAATTGGAGCTCTGGCGCCCCAAGGCTGCCCGGCTCTTAAGCTTTTCGGATCCACGGGCGGCATCCACCAACCTTCCTCGTTCCTGGAGGCTGTCCGCACGTATTCTCTCTAATGCCCCGTCTGTGGGTTGCCTGGCAACTTGGAAACATGGGTGCCCATAGGAGGGGTGCAAGGATTAGCCAGGTTCATGCACAGGAAAATCAAGATCAGGCGCCTTGACGGACTGAGTGTTTTGGTTCTCCATTGCCCTGCGAATCAGCGAAGGCGGCAGTCAGGGTTCGACTTCCCAAAAATATAATGGGACTTCTTTTGGCCTTGCTGGTGGAGGCATTCTGGGGGAAGGAATGTCGCTCTGTCAAGACAGCTTTGCACATTTCGCTTTCTAAACGGAAATGCTAAAGGTTAAGAAGATCTTACAGAGATTCTGCCTTACGAACACTCGTTTTAATTGCTTCGTATTGTGGCATTTTAAATATTTATAGCCGTGTCGCACGGGAAAGACGGTGGGCAACTTTACAAGGTTCTTCCCCACCAGAAGCCGGCATCATCCTCCATCCGACACTGACGCTTAGTGGCCAGAGGCAACAGTGCAACAACGCCGGGTTCCTTCGGCAGAGAAGTCCGCTCCTGCCTTACCATCAGTGTGTGTGTGTTGACACCAAATTTGGACACAAAACACCTATCAGACCAACGAGTGACCATCTATATAAATAAAAATGTCATGTTTGTTTGTGGGATTAACAGAACTCAAAAACCACTGGACGAATTGACACCAAATTTGGACACAAGACACCTAACCACCCAATGTGTGTCCGTCGCTCAGAAAAATTGATTTTGTCATTTGGGAGATGTAGTTGCTGGGATTTATAGTTCACCTACAATCAAAGAGCATCCTGAACCCCACCAACGATGGCATTGAACCAAACTTGGCACACAGTTCTCCCATGACCAGCAGAAAATACTGGAAGGGTTTGGTGGGCAGTGTCCTTTGGTTTTGGAGTTGTAGTTCGCCTACATCCAGAGATCACTGTGGACTCAAACAATGATGGATTTGGACTAAACTCTACACAAATACTCAATATGCCCAAATGTGAACACTGGTGGGGTTTGGGGAAAATAACTCCCAGGGATTTGGATGCTCGAGTGGGATTCCTTCCCAGGTCATCCTCAGATCTCAAGATGTTTGGCTGTTCTGAAGGTGAAACGCACATGTCTGTGTTTTAGACGGATTCGGAATCAGCTGGATTTCTCTGTAATAGGCAGTAAGATCACCTAAGGCTTTGGAGAGCTTCTGTTCAACCATTTCAAAGCTCCCTGCTTAAGCAATGATGGCAGGATCATCAGCATAGATGAAACTCTCTTTCCCTTCTGGCAGTGGCTGGTCATTTGTGTCAAGGTTAAACATGGATGGAGTAAGCACCCTTGCCCGAGGCAGGCCGTTTTTCCGACTTCACCATCTGCTTCTCTGGCCCTGGAACTCATGGTACAACGTTCTCTGCACAATGTTCCTTGACCATCTGAACAGGAGAAAGAACTTTCTGACTGTGGGAGCTGTTCAGCAGTGGAACTCTCTGCCCAGGAGTGTTTTGGAGGCTCCTTCTTTGGAAGCTTTTAAACAGAGGCTGGATGGCCATCTGCCAGGGGTGCTTTGAATGCAACATTCCTGCTTCCTGGCAGAATGGAGTTGGACTGGATGGTCCATTCCAATTCTAGGATTCTATGACCCTGTCGATCAGTGGTTCTCAACCTTCCTAATGCCGCGGCCCCTTAATACACTTCCTTGTGTTATGGTGACCCCCCAACCATAAAATTATTTTTGTTGCTACTTCATCAGTGTCATTTTGCTGCTGTTGTGAATCGTAATGTAAATATCTGGCATGCAGGATGTATGTTCATTCACTGGACCAAATTTGGCACAAATACCCAATACGTCCAAATTTGAATACTGGTGGGGGGGGGGGTGATTGATTTTATCCCGTGGGAGTTGTAGTTCCTGGGATTTATAGTTCACCTACAATCAAAGAGCATTCTGAACTCCACTAATGATGGAATTGAACCAGACTTGGCACACAGAACTCCCATGACCAACAGAAACATATTGGAAGGGTTTGGTGGAGTTTTGGGTTTGGGAGTTGTAGTTTACCTACATCCAGAGAGCACTGTGGACTCAAACAAGGATGGATCTGGACCAAACTTGGCACAAATTCCCAGTAGTCCCAAATGAGAACACTGGTGGAGTTTGGGGAAAACAGACCTTGACATTTGGGAGTTGTAGTTGCTGGGATTTATAGTTCACCTACCATCAAAGAGCATTCCGAACCCCACCAGGGATAGAATTGGGCCAAACTTCCCACACAGAACCCCCATGACCAACAGAAAATACTTTTTTCTGATGGTCTTTGGCGACCCCCCTGGTACCCCCTCGCGGCCCCTCCAGGGGTGCCGACCCCCAGGTTGAGAAACACTGCTGTAGATTGTGCAACGAAATGAAATGCTTTCCCCAGCACACATCAGATCCCAGTGGTGAGCATAGGCTGTAGTGACACTCGACTCTTGCTGAATGTAATCAAAGCAAGTTTGGGTTGTGCACCAGATCTGGTAGTACACACCTTGACTGTATTTTGATGATGAAGATGATGAGTTGCAGGAATATTTTTGTGTGATGATGGTGAGGCTAAGTCCCTGTTGATTTGGAGAGGAAGCATATGTTGTTCAAGCCTGCCTCATCCCGATTTCTGCATTTTGTGTAGCTGAAGCGTCCTCTGGTTGAGCTGAGAGGCGCATCCTCAGAGCATGGAAGTGGATGATGGCCCTTTCCACTTCCATCCCCTCTCCGCTCCTTTGTTAACGAGTTTAATTGCTGATTTGCTGAAGCCCGGTGCTTATTTTTAGCCTCCTACTTCAGGAGAGAAGGCAAACATCGTTCTCCAGGTGCAGAGAAAATGCGGGCTGTTGTTCCGGCTCCCGGTTACTATAGAATCCGCTCCGCAAAACAT